AAACCACTCCAAAAAGTGGGCAAAAGAGGCCAGGCAAGGTGGCTCATATAATCCCAGCACTCTAGGAGGCTAAGGTGAGTGGATTGCATGAGCTCAAGAGTTATAGACCAGCCTGAGTATACCTGTCTCTAAAAACTAGCTGGGCATTGTGGTGGGAGCCTGTAGTCCCAGCTACTAGGGAGGGCGAGGCAGAAGGATTGCTTGAGCCCAGGAGTTTGAGGTTGCTCTGAGCTATGATGAAGCCAGGACACTCCACTGAGGATGACAAAGTTGGACACTGTCTCCAAAAAAAAAAATGTGGGCAGAAGACATGAGGAGAAGTTTTTCAAAAGAAGATAGGCAGCTGGGCGCCCATAGCTCACGGTTAGGGCACCAACCACATGCACCGGGTTGGCGGGTTCGAGCCTGCTAAACAAACAAACAAACAAATAGCCAGGCACTGTGGCGGATGCTTATAGTCCCAGCTACAAGGAAGGTTGAGAGAAGAGAATTGCTTGAGCCCAAGAATTTGAGGTTGCTGTGAGCTGTGACACCACAGTACTCTACTGAGGTTGACATGTTAAGACTCTGATTAAAAAAAAATAAAGAAGATAGGTAAATGACCAACAAACGTACACAAAAATGTTCAACATCACTAATCAAGAAAATACAGATTAAAACCACCATGAGATATCTATTACCTTACTCCTGTCAGAATGGCTTATAGCAGAAAGTCCAAAGCTGACCAGGTATGGTGGCTCAGTCCTGTAATCCCGCACTCTGGGAGGCAGAGGCAGGAGGATTGCCAGAGCTCAGGAGTTTGAGACCAGCCTTAGCAAAGTGAGACCCTGTCTCAACTAAACATAGAAAAACTAGTCAAGTATTGTGGTGGGTGCTTGTAGTCCCAGCTACTCAGGATGCTGAGACAAGAGGATCACTTGAGTCCAGGAGTTTGCAGTTGCTGTGAGCTATGATGTCACAGCACTCTACCACAGGGGGACTGAGTGAGACTGTCTCAAAAAACAAAACAGGGCGGCGCCTACGGCTCAAAGGAGTAAGGCGCTGGCCCCATATGCTGGAGGTGGTGGGTTCAAACCCAGCCCTGGCCAAAAATTGCAAAAAAACAAAAACAAAAACAAAAACAAAACAAATAACATAAAAAAAAACCCTCCAAAAACAATAGATATTGACTTAGAGGCAGAGAGAAAGCAACACAAGACTAATTTGGTGGGACTCCAAATTAGTTCAACTCCTGTGGAAAACAGTATGAAGATTTCTCAGAGAACTAAAAATAGACCTACCATTCAATCTAGTAATCCTATTACTGGATATCTACCCAAAGGAAAAGAAGTCATTTTTATCAAAAGAACACCTGAATATAAATGTTTGTTGCAGCACAATTCACAATTGCAAAGATATGGAATCAATCCAAGTGTCCATCAATTCATGAGCAGATTAACAAAATGGAATATATGTATACCATGGAGTACTACTCAGCCACAAAAAGGATGAATTAAGGTCTTTTGCAGCAATTTGGAGGAATTGTAGACCATTATCCTAAGCAAAGTATCTCAAGAATGAAAAAAAAAACCCCACATGCACTCTCTAACAAATTGGAACTTAGGGATTGGCATACGAGAGCACAGAGGGAAACAAAAGTCATTGGAAATCAAGCAGAGGAAGGGGACTGGAGGGGGCAAAATCCCACCTAACAGGTACAATGAACACTATTCAGGTGATAAGCAGATTTACAGCCATGACTCAAGCCATGTTAAAAAACAACAAAAATAAAACACTTGTACCCCCTTAATGTTTTGGGAAAATAAATAAGTACCTTACAGACTAAAAGGTGAAAGAATGACAAATTCTTTGTATTCAAAGAATACAAAATTCAGGATAGCATCTTCCTCCAGAGGGGGGAAGGAGGTTGTGATTACAGAGTGTTTCAAGGAGGTGGTTAATTTGTCTTTTCTTTTCTTTCTTTCTTTCTTTCTTTCTTTTTTTTTTGGCAGGGGCTGGGTTTGAACCTGCCATCTCCAGCATATGGGGCCAGTACCTTACTCCTTTGAGCCACATGCGCCACCCAATTTGTCTTTCTTTCTTTCTCCCTTTTTTTTTTTTGAGACAGTTTCACTTTGTCATCCTCGGTAGAGTGCTATGTCATCATAGTTCACAGCAACCTCAAACTCTTTAAGCAATTTTCTGGCCTTAGACTTCCAAGTAGCTGGGATTGTAGGCATCTCCACAGTGCCCGGCTATCTTTAGAGATGAGGTTTCTCTCTGGCTCAGGCTGGTCTCCAACCTGTGAGCTCAGGCAATCCACTCTCCTTGGCCTCTCAAGCGCTTACTCGTTAATTTTTCTTTTTTCTTTCTTTCTTTCTTTCTTTTTTTTTTGAGACAGAGCCTCACTATGTTACCTTTGGTAGAGTGCAATAATGTCACAGCTCACAGCAACTTCAAACTCTTGAGCTTAAGCGATTCTCTTGCCTCATCCTCCCAAGTAGCTGGCAATACAGACACTTGCCACAATGCCCAGCTATTTTTTTAGTTGCAGTTGTCATTGTTTGGCATTCCCAGGCAGGGTTCAAACCTGCCAGCCTTGGTGTATGTGGCAGGTGCACTAACCGCTGAGCTATGGGCACCGAGCCTGGTTAATTTTTCTTAAACTGGATATGATTTATTACTTTTCTTTACATTGTACATGTAAGTTACATACATCTTTTTTACACAGTATATGTATAAATACTGTATAATAGAAGTCACACAAATAGTATGGGATTCAAAAGAGAGAAGTCAGATACTTTACCTGGCAGGGGAAATACCATGGTCATAAAGAGACAAAGTATTGTGGAGAAGTCAGGAAAACAAATGAATACATTTGAAAGATAGCATTTCAGAATGAGGAACTAGCATAAGCACAGAGGCGGAAAAGTGGGAGCTGCAGGAGGGAAACATGGAGCAGGACATTTTTGCAGTAGCTTATGATATTTGTAGGAGAGTATTGGTGGGGAATAATTAGATGTAGTTGTAGCAGAATGTGGAGATTCTTGGGAGCTCTTGTGAGTCATATGTAAACCTCACTTTGCAAACAACGGAGACTTTGTATCAGTTAGGATTTCTTAATTTTAGCCAACAAGAAACAATTACGAATAACTCAAGTAAAAAAAGAAAAAAGAGGGGAAAAAGATAAGAAATAGAGAAGGAAAGGGAAAAAGAGGGAAAGGGGAAAGAGGAAGAGAAATAGAGACTGAATAGTTTGTTGTATTGGCTAGGTTATCAAGTGAATAGTCAGAAACCCAGTAGGTCTGGAGAATCTCAGTGTGATGAACTCATGGACCAGCTCTTTATAGAGTACTGGGTTCCAACTGCCTTTTCTCTCAGGGCATCTCCATCCAAGATCCCAGGACAGTCTGATTGACCTAGTGTTTCTCACCATGGTGATCTGGGTTTTGTGCTTGCAACTCATTAGAATACAAGGAATAGAGATGAATAGGTAGTTCCTCAAAGGAGGAGATGTCTAGTAGATTAAAAAAGTGGTGGCACAGTGTTGATTCTTCAGTAAACTACAGGATGGTTACTACTATGCAAAACCTAAAATTCTTGGGCCAGGCTTGGTGGCTCATGCCTGTAATCCTGGCACTCTAGGAGGCCCAGGCGGGTGGATTGCCTGAGTTCAGGAGGTGGAGATCAGGCAGAGTACGAGCGAGACCCCTTGCCTCTAAAAAATAGCCCGGAGTTGTGGTGGGTACCTGTAGTCCCAGTTACTCAGGAGGCCTAGGCAAGAGGATTGCTTGTGCCCAAGAGTTTGAGGTTGCTGTGAGCTAAGATGCCATGGCAGTCTACTGACAGTGACAAAGTGAGACTCTGTCTCAAAAAATAAAATAAAATAGAAACTTAAAATTCTCTATTCAAATAAATTATTTCTACAGATTAGACATCGAAACGCTTGCTAATGTAGTCTCAAACCTCTGGATTCGTTGACCCCATCATATTGAGCTAACATTTTTTGTTTGCGCGTGACCTGAGTTTGTCTCTACAACCATTTTCCTCTCAAATAATAATTCATAGACTGGCCCGGCGCGGTGGCACGTGCCTGCAGTCCCAGCTACTCCGGAGGCTGAGACAGGAGGATCGCTTGAGTCCAGGAGTTCCGAGCTGTAGTAAGCTATGCCGATTGGGTGTCCGCACTAAGCTGGGCATCAATATGGTGACCTCCCGGGAGTGGGGACCACCAGGTTGCCTAAGGAGGAGTGAACCGGACCAGGTAGGAAAAAGCAGGTCAAAGCTCCTGTGCTGATCAGTAGTGGGGATCGCGCCTGTGAATAGCCAATGCACTCCAGCCTGGGCAATATAGTGAGACCCTGTCTCTAAAAAAATAAAAAATAAATTCTGATACGCATCAGATACGCATGATAAGACTGATACGCATTTCTTCTTAGATGGATCAATTATCGTTTGAAGAAGATCTGGGTCCCTTGGCAGAAAATGATGAAAGAAATGTAAGAAAACAACGACACAAAAATATAGGGCCTGCGACCTAGCTTATCTACCCCAAGCCGCAATTTCCCCCGCGTGGGTTGGGCACCTAGGTTCCCCCGGGGCAGTCCGGAGGCAAAGAACTCGGCGCAGCGACGGAGAGCTGGGCCGATGGGAGCCGAACTGCACATTGGGAATTGTAGTTCCTCGGGGAGGGGGGCGGCGAGCGGCGAGCGCCGCACACGCGCACGAGAGCCCAGGTCAACAAAGACGGCGGCGTGCGCGCGCCGGAGAAAGACACAGGAGAACGTGCGCGTGCGCGGCGGCCGCTCGGAGCTATCAGGCGGCTGAGAGGACAGAGGGAGGGAGGGGCTGGAGCCTTCGACAGCTGGAGAAGGAGACCGGGTTGTGCTCCTGAGCGCGGAAGGAGAAAGGGGCGGGGCCGGCGGACAGTGTGTGAAGGTGCCGAGCTCTCGCGGCCGGCCGGCGCGCGGGCGTGTGTGGCCCTAGCCGTCGCAGTGGCCGTCGCCGTCCTTTGGTCCCCGTCGGTCTGCGGGAGGCGGGTTATGGCGGCGGCGGCAGTGGGAGTTGTGAATGAATTCTCCGGGTGGACGAGGGAAAAAGAAAGGCTCCGGCGGCCCCAGCAGCCCGGTGCCTCCCAGGCCTCCGCCTCCCTGCCTGGCCCCCGCCCCTCCCGCCGCCGGGCGGGCCCCTGCGCGCGAGTCGCCGCATAAGCAGAACCTGTACTACTTCTCCTACCCGCTCTTCGTAGGCTTCGCGCTGCTGCGTCTGGTCGCCTTCCACCTGGGGCTCCTCTTCGTGTGGCTTTGCCAGCGCTTCTCCCGCGCCCTCATGGCAGCCAAGAGGAGCTCCCGGGCCGCTCCGACACCGTCTTCGGCCTCGCCCCCGGCGCCGGTGCCAGGCGGTGAGACCGAGAGCGTCCGAGCCTTCCACAAACAGGCCTTCGAGTACATCTCCATTGCCCTGCGCATCGACGAGGATGAGAAAGGTAATCGGAGCTGGGGGAAAGGGGCGGCGGCTCCGAGAAGAAAGTGGTGGGGTGGTCGGGAAGGGCAACACCTGCGTCCCTTGCAGGAAGGAACAGTGCACCCCCAAAGTTAATCTCCCCCAAGAGGCTGCTTCCCCGCAGATCAGAGCCTCATCTAGGATTCTCTATAAACCTCTATCCCTATTCAGGGCACCCTGGTTGTCGACTTTGTTTCAGACTCCAGCCTTCCCCCACACTTTTGCATGACCCAAGTCACTGTGAGACACCCAGATGTCCTGATGACAGTGACAGTTGTCCCAGAGTGACCACACGGATCCTTTTAAACATTGTAAACAAAGTATGACTTCCTCTGAGCCAGGTTTCCAAAAGGTTTTGATATCGAAGAAGCTGTGCCTTAATAAGCTTTTTAATGAAAGTACTGTAGTACAAGAAAAAAGAACAAATGGTGACTTACATTTCAAAGTAATAGCTACGTGTCATTAGTTGAATTTTCATTATTTTTGAAAGGTTTCATAACAGTCTCTCAATATAACGACTCCTTAATATTTTTCAGTAAAGTTGTACTTTAGCATAAAACCTGCCTCTGGTTGCTCTGATTTTAATTAAATCGGTATTCTAAGGTAGCCTCTGTTTCTAGGTTGAAGTGTTAAATGAACGAATTGAATAAACTTATACACATCATTTTACAATAAAATCTTCAACAAAATTTATGTTTGTAAAAGAAAATGAGGAATCAAGTCTCTCTTAACCTAGCATTTTTTAGTGTAGATATGTTCTAGGCATTCTGCAGTTAGCTTTCCATGTGCTAATTATTCCATTTATTTTATCTGATCCTTACAATAACCCTGTGAGATGAAAGTGTTAACTAGTGGCTCAGTGCATGTAGCTCAGCCCTTAGGGTGCCAGCTACATCCGCTGAGGCAGGAGGGTTCGAACCCAGCCTGGGCCTGCTAAAACAATGACAACTGCAACAACAACAACAAAAAATAGTCAGGCGTTGTGGCAGGCTCCTAGAGTCCCAGCTGCTTGGGCGGCTGAGGCAAAAGAATCACTTAAACCCGAGAGTTTGAGGTTGCTGTGAGCTGTGACACCACAGCACTGTATCCAGGGCGACATAATGAGACTCTGTCTCAAAAAAAAAAAAAAGTGTTAACTAGTAACAGCAGTTTACAGATGAAGAAACTGAGGCTCAAAAGATAAAGCTTATTATAGAACTCATTGGCTGGGCCCAGTGACTCACTCATGTAATCTCAGCACTGTGGAAGGCCCAGGTCAGTAGATTGCCTGAGCTCACAGGTTCAAGACCAGCCTGAGCCAGAGCAAGACCCTCTCTCTAAAAATAGCAAGGCGTTGTGGTGGGCACCTGTAGTCCCAGCTATTTGGGAGGTAGAGGCAAGAGAATCACTTGACCCCAGGAGTTTGAGATTGCTCTGAGCCATGACACCACAGCACTCCACCCAGGGCAACAAAGTAAGACTGTCTCAAAAAAAAAAAAAAAGAAAAAGATAAACCCTGTTATTCCAAACCTATGCTAATAGCTCTTGAAAACTTTTTATGCAAAATGATAAAGTTAGAGTCTTTTAAAAAAGTTTTAGGCCGGTTGTGGTGGCTCACGCCTGTTGTCCCAGCGATGTGGGAGGCCAAGGCGGGCAGATCACCTGTGCTCAGAGATTGGAGACCAGCATGAGCCAGAGTGAGACCCCGACTCTACCAAAAATTGCCGGGTGTTCTGGCAGGCGCCTGCAATCCCTGCTACATGGGAGGCTGAGGCTAGAGAATCACTTAAACCCAGGGACCCAGGGGTTGGCAGAGGTTGCTGTGAGCTATGTACTCTACTGAAGGACACAAAGTGAGACTCTGTTTCCATTAAATAAAATAAAAGCAAAAAAAAAACCCCAAAACTTTAAAAAAAAATTTTTTTTAATTCCCTCTTTTTATCCTTTCTCTTGGTGTGTTGAGATCTTGCTTTTTCCTCTCCCAAAGAGCCTTTCCACAACACCTCAATTAGGTACTTACGTAAATTGTCCATTAATGAAAACAAGAGCAATCTGCACTTCATTCCCAGTGTTTCTCCCCGCTACCAGTGCCAGAATCTGTTCTAGAGTTTCAGCCTTGTTGACACCTGTTTCCTTTGTGGGCGCTGGGAGTGAGAAGTAGGATATAGGGAAAGAGGCAGGTATTCATGCTTTTAGAGTGTTGAGGACAGAGTAGAGGTTAAGAGAGTTCAAGGAAGGAAAGGAATTTAAGAAGAGAATACTGTGTTTGTGGAAGGAAGTTTTTTTGTTAACTGCACCATTCTTCACCACATCGTAGGAACATCCAAGATCTCTTTGGGAAGAAGAGGTGTGCCATCATCCCTTCCTAGATTGTTTTATTGCAATATCCTGTTACAGAAGAGTCTTCTGAAGCTTACCCATCTACATTGGATGTTTTAGAATAGAGGGATCTGTTTAAAGATAGATCATTGTAATTCTTGTATTTAGGAAGAGTGTCAGAACATACAGGGAAATGTTGGTTAACATTGGGAGATGGGAGTTAGAAGGTAGCATAAAGGAGAGATTAAGAAAAACTTATGGCTCGGCGCCTATAGCTCAACCGGCTAAGGCGCCAGCCA